TTGGTTTTGAGCAAACAACCATGAATTGATCGTTCAATCTTCAACTACACTGACAACACCATCTATCCATTTTTTCTAATTCTTGCTGTATGGCATTTACTGTTATTCCGAGATCTGTGTTCTTGCATTTATAGGTCACTTTTAAGTCATCTGCATAAAGTATTGGTTTACCAACACTAAAGCATTCACAGATACTGTTTATATATATTATGAATAGGAGTGGGCCTAATACACTCCCTGCATTACACCACTACTTACTGGTTTAGGCCTTGAGATTATCGAGCCAACTTTCGTTATCTGACTTCGGCCACAGAGAAATGATTTTATCCAGCTCAAGAGAGGGTCACATATCCCTAGTGAGCATAACCTGCTGACTAGCAGATTATGGGGGACTCTATTGAAGGCTTTTGTTATATCGAAATATAGCACAATTACTAGTTCTCTGTTGTCCCTGCATCGTGTAACTTCATTGAAAAAGTCTATGTGATAGGTCACACATGATCTCTTTTTGAGGAATCCGTGTTGTGATGGATTGATAAGTTCATGTTCTGGTAAGTTGTCTGACACTTGGTCTTTAACCACTTTTTCCATTATTCGTGATATAACCGGTGTTATATTAATAGGTCTATAGCTGCATGCGCTGGTTTTAGCCTCTGCTTTGTGCTTGGCTAATATGCATGTGGTTTTCCACACTTCAGGATAAGTTCCAGTTTCCAGTGACAGAGTAAATATTCTAAGTAACAAGACTACCATTTCCGTGCTACCGTTTTTGTATATGACAGATGGTTTATCGTCTGTTCCAGTACTGCCATTTGACTTCAATGTCTTAATCGCTGATTCTATATTTTGTATATTAAAATCTATTTCTCCTAATTTGTGGTTACTTTTGCAGGTCATTTGGAAATCTGGGGTCGGGTGCACTCTGGTGTCACTGCAAAACCACTCACTGAGGAGTTCACTTATAACCTGGGGATCGTTGTATATTATACCTCTATGTTCCAAGATGCTTACATTATTGTCTTTACTGCTTTTTAGACGTTTTTGCAATATCCTACAAAGTTCCTGAGTTTTGGTGTTACCCATAAGCGCTTTATTTTCCTCATGTTGTGACTTCAATTTGTGTTTCTCTTCAAGCAGTTTAAGAGTTTCATGTATTTGGTTAAACGCATTAAATTCCTTAAATACATGGTATTTTCTTTCCAATTTCTTTAGTTTTAGTCGCGTTTTCCGGTGAATAAATGGAGTTGGTGTCTTTAGGGCGGATTTTAGGGGCGCGATTGTGTCTCTTGCTGAGCCAACTGTTTTGTAGAAAATCTCAAGTGATACTTCTAAGTTATTGTTGATGAAGTATTCTTCACAGTCAGAACTTCTCAACAGATCTGATAGGAATTCCCAATCAGCATTCTTACAGTTCCTATATTGAATAGCGCACCGGGGAATTTTTAAGTGTGTATTTAGTTGTTAGTTGGAGGGGTAGCGTGCAGTACAATATGTTGTGGTCACTGTTATCGAGTTTATTTCCCACCTCTATCGAGATGGGCCCTATGTCATGACAGAGGATTAAGTCAAGATGTCAAGGGAGTTGAAGATTGAACGATCAATTCTTGGTTGTTTGCTCAAAATCAACTTCCCCAATTTTCGCGGAGGCATCAATACGACAGTCATCGTCTCATCGGTCGCTGTTCAGAAAGAAGTCAGGCCAAAACTGTCAGAAGTGATCTCGTGATTTATTATTGTAATATTTGTTCACAGACCTTAATAGAAATATTTTTTATATGTTGGTGTTACAATAAAGAATTCCCAAGCGGCCAATCGGTGTTTTGGTTTTTCGTCCGTTATTACTAAGCGTTTCTGAAAAACTGCAAGGAACAGCGTGGGCCCGAGCGTAGCAAGAGCTGGGCGTTAACGGTTTATGAGACGTGACTGACACAAGAGTATTTTGGTTCCTTGTAGGGAGGCGCACGCACTGCTTCCATCCTTCTATGTCTATAGCTTGTAGTAGCTCTTCATGGATTCTAGGTCCTATACAGGTATCCCAGTTTACTCCAGGTAAGTTGAAATCTCCACATACTACTTTGTGGTCGAAGTCCAGTGTGGCTACATGATCTAGTATTTCTCCAATAGTTACATCAGTCATTTCAGGGCTATGGGGGTTCTGTATATACGTCTCACGAGAATTTTACTTTCGTTTGTGTGGATGCTTATCCACTTAGATTCTGGGAGTTTGTCAGTATTTAGGTTATTGAAAGTGTTGGAGTTAGTGGATTTATAGGCATATATTAAGCAACCGCCTCCTCTTTTGTCAACTCTGTCGTTCCTATAGATGTCGTAGTTGTCTATTACTAGCTTTGTGTCAGGTATATCAGTAGTAAGCCAGGTTTCAGTCACCATTATTAGTGTTGGCCGTTCTATTTATGCCAGGCAGCGAAGCGTTGTTATTTTATTGAGGAGAGATCTAGCATTCAAGAGCATAATTCTTAGTAAACCAGAGTTATTGGGGGAGAGGTTAACACGGTTACTTGTTACTATCCCTACGTTATGTTTGGAGGGGCTCTGAGGTGAGACAGAGTCAGTGTGTGTACTATTTCCTGGATGAACTGTGCAGCGAGTGGGGCTATTGTTTGCTGCAGCTGAAAATAATCCTGTTGCATGTTTTGACTATTAGCATCCATGGGTCGGCATCCGCGTTGATCTACTGATGATATATGGTCTGCCCTGCAATTTGAGTTGTAGTTTGCTGGACCTAGGTACCCTGTGTTAAGATTACTCTGATAGTTGTACCTCATGGGGCTTTCATAGCGGTATGCATATTGGCTCACATCACGTGTGTGAGTGAGATTATTGAGGGGATCAAGTGTCGACCTGTTCTCATAATGTTGATGAGGTTTAACATAGATAGTGCAAGAGTTTGGACGAGAATTTTCGTTAATATGGTGCCTATATGAGTCCCGTTTAGTGCTCCATATATTCTGAGGATCCATTCTACGTTGCACTCCCAAGTTATGTGCGTTGTTAGGCATGTTACTTCTAGTTCGGGAAGGGGGTATTCCTTCGCACATGCTGCGTGACGTCTTTGGGAATGTGCTTCGTTACCCATGCTTTGTCATTTTTTAGACTGACATGCTGCTTATTAGACTTATTACGAGGGAGGTATGTCGAAGTCTGGGGTGGGATTCCGGGCTTTGTGGTCTTTTTTGTGGCTTCTACTGAAGGATTCTCTGGCTTGGATCCAGATTGAGTTTGGTTTGGCAGTAGTTTCTGGTCAGCCATAGTTTGTGCGTCTATGTCAACCTTATGTAGGTCAGCAGGTTTTCGAGATGTGCTCTCGTGCACTCTAAGACTGCACCCAGTGGCACTGCTCTTACTGAGTTTTGGGTCGCTCTTACTTGCCGTTTTTTCTCCTAACACTATACACGTGACTTGCTGTGCCTCAGTGTCCGTCGACACTTTAGCACTGATACCAGATGTATTTCTCAGTGTTGTCAACTTTGTTTCGAAGGAGTTCTTGGTTGCTTGCCTTTGGTTTGGTGTTTTATCCGAGACTACTTTAATAGTCTTGAATTTAGTGGCAGTAGTCAGAAGATCTTAGGCCATCTTAAATCGTTCAGCTACTATGTGGCTGTCGAACCTAAAGAGTATAGGACAAGGATATTTTAGGTCTTTTTTGCTTAGGCGAATGCACTGACAAGGTACATTCAAGAGATTTGCAGCCTTTAGGAATGAGTGCTGGACTGACTTTATAGGCTCGCCATCCGGTACATTATACACTATTGCGTTTTGTTTTGAAGCCAGCCTTTTAACAACTTCGCTGGATAGAAAGTCGATGGCGGTTTCTAACTCCATCGCACTTTTTGAGTCAGTATGATTCATTCTAGAGGTCATATTAAAAAGCTTTAGGATTGTAGGATCCTGCAGTTCCTTTTTCATACGTGAGATAGTTTCGGGTATACATTCTAGTGAACTTACTTTCGTTTTTAATTCATCTACCTGTAGCTGCATTTCTTTAATTACGCACGTTAAGTAAGAGAGCTCTACTTTTTCAGACAGAACATCTTCCACCTGTATTTCAAGGGTCAGAGTTATGTTCGAGGCTTTTATGTTGGGTGAGCTACTAATAATATGGGGTGGTAATGTGTTATTAGACTAGCTGGTGTTATTTTCTAAATTAGTGGTGTTCACACAAACACGCTTTTTAGAATTTTGAACCATCGTTATTAAAGATCAATTATTAGTAACCAATAAATGAATATAAGCGAAAACACGTGCAAAAGCGTCACCTGATTCGAACGTACCAGGCGATGGATATCACATAATATATATATTTCTTTCTATTCATGCAGAAAAATACCAATTGTACAGGCATGGATAAGTTATTATATAAATTACACACAATTTAATGTATAATGAATTTACAGTTTGGTTGTTCTTTCTGACATTAGAGTCAGTCGGAACAGTCTGCTATAAAGTCTGTTTGTGCAGCACATAAAGAGATATAGAAATATTGTCTTCGCATTAACAAAAAACCCAGACATCAGATGAATGTAATACAGATACCTGGGAAAAGTAAAGCTTGAAGTCAATTCTCCTAAATAACTTTGTTGTGAGCAGCACCCTTGGCTTAAAGATTATTGATGTATTATGTTGAGATCAGTGATATATTTATTCCATTTTTTCAGCAGTCTTATCGTAGTTTCTTAACAGGAAAGAAATTTGATCGTGGATGCGAAAACTAGATAAGGTCATGTTAAGTTGTTTTACTGCATCAAATGGTGCCGAGGTCGATTCCAGAATTCTCCATTTGCACCATTTGTGTCTGCATGGCGGACTGTATTCGTAAGTTGAGTAAAATGTTGGAAACTGTTTGAATACTCATTTACAGCATGTTCGCCAGCGTCTTCAAATGGTAGAATTGGATCGTTCATGGAATTTGAGTGGTTATGAGACGAATGGTTTGAAATTAATCTTCATTTCAGTTTAGATGCAGGGTTGTTCGACCTCGACCAGAAGATGAATAGGAGCAGCAGAATACCAGAAAGAGAAAGTATGTGAACATGAAAAGGATATTAATGTTTATATATGTATATATAAGTGTTTATGTCAATTGCATATTATACTTTAGTAAACATTTACCTATATTTTAGTTGTGTTTTCACGTGTTTATGCGAAGTCTTAGAGTTTATTTAGTGTCATAATGTGTATTAATGTGTCTGAGCGTTTTAGTGTTCTAATGACTGATGCGTTTTAGAAATAAGTGATGGGTTCTGGTAGGGATAGTCATTGGGATAAAAGTTTATATAGCAAGCGTTTGAAGGTTACAATAGAGTGACAGGTCCTATTTCTAAGGGTAAACTAATCCTGTATGTTCCGTACTAAGTCTTTATGCATCCATGCTGCTAGTTTATTTATAGTTTTTAGATTGCTAAGGGTGTTGAAGTGCGTCTTTTAGGTGCTGTAGTAGATTAGTAGTTGATTCGTTCTAGGAGTAAATAGTTTATTAATATAATCAGTAGAGTGAAACAGTCTGTATAGAGAGCGTTTGAAGCTTGTAACCGAAGAGCAAGTTCTGACATCTAGGGGTAGGCTATTCCATATTTTAGAATACATGACTGTGAAGAAGTTTTCACGGAGTGTTGACTTAAAAGAATGAGTTGTCACTGTGGAAGTTTGGTTACGCAGATCGTAAGAACCTTCCTGTGCGAATTGTATGTCCCTGTTACCTGAGAATGATATTTTGTGAAGGACCTTAAAGAAGAATATTAGGTTTATAATAAGTCGCCTTGTCCAAAGTGGGTCAAGTTTTAGGATCATGCACCGTGAGATGTAGTCTTTCTTACAATCGTAGCCAAGTAGTTTTGAGGTAAAATATCGTTGGATACTTTCCATCCTTAGCTTGTCACGTGTGCGAGTGCTGCTTATAATAAATGGACAGTATTCTAGTAGTGGTCTGACACATGTTTTGTACAGAATTAGCTTGGCTTCATTGTCGTGAAAGTTCCTGAGTATGCATCCTAAGAGCATCCTCGATTTTCTAGTCTGTGATGCTACTTGCTCAGAGAATGTCAAGTCACTAGAGTACCTCAGGCCTAGGTCAACGACACTTCGGAGTCTGGTTAGGTTAGCAGATTGGAGCGTTAATTTCAGGTCAATTGAGGGTGCACCGAAGCAGATCCAGCCACATTTGTTCAGATTAAATTGGAGATTCCATAGGGACGACCAAGCAGTCATTTTATCTAATTCCTTCTGCACTACATTCTCGAAGTTCCCTAAGTCATCACGTTGGAATGTATAAGCTACTTTTAGGTCATCTGCAAAGATGAATGGTTTCCCGTGCGTGAAGCAAGCGCATATGTCATTGATGTATAGTGTAAATAGGAGGGGTCCAATGACACTACCTTGTACTACACCAGAAGTGATAGGGCTAGGTTTGGAGGTTGCAGACCCGAGTTTAACTATTTGGGACCTATTGTTAAGGAATGATTTAAGCCATCCTAATAATGGGTCACGTATTCCTAAGGAGTTCAGTTTATTTGTTAGCAGTAAATGGTCAACACGGTCAAATGCCTTAGAAATGTCAAAGTAGATGACAAGTACTAGTTGCCGTCTGTCACGACTGCTGGTTACAAAATTGAAGAAGTCTAGGTGACATGTTAAACATGATCTGGATTTCAGGAATCCATGTTGGTTCGGACTTATAATATTGCAGCTAAGCATATGTTTGATTAAGTTATCTTTGACTAGTCTCTCCATGATTCTAGATGCTATAGGTGTGATATTGATTGGCCGGTAGTTACTGACTTCAGTTTTCGAGCCAGATTTGTGTTTAGGCATAATGAATGTTGTCTTCCATATGTCAGGGTAAGTTTGGGTTTCTAGGGACATTGTGAATATTTTAAGCAGCAGTAGAGGAATGTCAGGGCCACCATATTTATAGAAGTAAGATGATATACCGTCGGTACCGAAACCTTTTGAACTTTTGAGGGTTCTTATAGTTTGGTTAATATTAGCGTAAGTGAATTGAACAGTGCTAATTTGGTTTGGTGTGAGTGGAGATGGAGTTTGTGCCATATTAGTAATAGGGTGTATATCGAGTAGCTGGACTGAGGGCTTAAGGTAGTTACCTGCAAACGTTTTGTTGAATAGTTCACATATGTCTGCAGAGTTAGTGCATAGCCTACCTTTGTCTATGAGGAGAGAAATGCTGTGATTTTTGCGATTCATTCGCTTCCTTAAGATTTCTGTGAGTGCATACACTCTAGCAGGACTGGCTACTGCGATGCGTTCTTCCTTTCTCATACGGAAATCTCGAGCTTGTGTGATGGAGCTAAGGGTGTTAAGTATTAGACCTAGAGTGCCAAAGTCGTGGTGTTTGAAGTAACTTGTTGAGAGTTTCTTCAGTTTCGTACGATCCTTTGGTTTTATGAATGACTTTCTGTGTGGGGAAACCTTTAGTGTTTGGAGTGGAATGACAGCATCTAAGCATGTGTTAGAGTTATGGTAGAAGATGGTTAGGGCTCTCGATAGGTCATCAGTAGTGAAGTATTCATCCCATTTGGAGGATCTTAGCATCGATTCAACTAAGGCCCAGTTTGCCTTACTATAGTTCCTATATATTACTTGTTGTGAAGTGGAGGTATGAGATGCATTGCTACTCAGCGGAATTGGCAGTGCACACATCACTGTTTTGTGGTCGCTCCCTGGAAACTCAGAACCTACTAGCGTTGAAAGGGGGCTTATATTGTGGCAGAAGATTAAGTCTAGTACGTTGTTACCTCTTGTGGGAGTAGTGACAGTTTGTTTCCAGCCAAGTATATCCAGTGTGTCTAAGAACTTATCAAATTTAGTTGGGCCTGTGGGTATATCCCAGTTGATTTCAGGTAAGTTAAAGTCCCCACATAGGATCTTATGATCGTATTGTAAGTCGGATAATTGCTCCAGAGTATTAATAAGTTGGGTCTCGTAATTACTAAAGGTGCCAGGTGCTCTGTAGGAGCATCCAATTAATGCTGTTACGTTATTTAAGTGTACATTAACCCATAGAGTCTCAGGCATGTTAAGTGTACTACTTTCTAGCTGTGATACAGTAAGTGCATTCAGAAAGTACATGAGACAACCCCCTCCCTTACCACCTTCCCTGTCACACCGAAAGTGTGTGTAGTTATCTAAGCTTATTTCTTCATCCAGGATGTTCGAATGACACCAAGATTCAGTGATGACAATTACAGGGGGTTTGTATATTACTGTGAGTGCTCTGAGCATCGGCAATTTATTTAGAACAGATCTAGCATTTATGAGGATTACGTAAAGATGAGAGTTGAAGTAGCATTTGAAGTATTTAAGTTCGTTAGTCAGCCCCGAATATGGTTCAGCACCCAGTAGTTCTGCTGGACATGACGATCCTATGTTAAGAGGAGTTCCAGCATCATGCTCACCTATGTCTATCGAGTTGGTGTGTGCTGTTTTCGGTGAAGAATTAGGAGTTGGAGTACTGGATTTGCTATAGACTAAGGAATTTTTATTTTTAGTTAGGTTACAGAAGTGGGTAGGGTTCTTTATTTGGCCTATACTTGTGCAAGTGTCAAGTGTGCCTAATGGATACGGGTGCACTAGACCGTTCCTGTTTTCATGCAAGGAGGGAGCCAGCACTAGTGGTTTAGGAGTGTTAACATCCCTACCAGCTGTTTTTTCAACGCTGACAGGGACGCGGGGGATAAAAAATGATTGGATCCTTGTGATGACCATGGCTTATTATTCCACCTATTGTTTGATGCTAGTTGTGTCCTTGTGTGGGTTTCGTGTGTACTGCATTGTGGGTTAGTTCCCAGCAGACTTGTACCATATATCCGGTCAAAATTTGTTTGTGTGCCATACTCTGAAGACCCTGAGTTGTTGATAGCCGAGTTCTGACTATTACCACTTGTACTATTGAGGGTGACATTGTTGTGACATTGGATATTAGTGTGTGCCATGGTGCGATTTAGCACGTTGTGAGTGCTAATACTATTGACCGTGGGGAGTGTGGGCTTATTTAAGCTGCCACTGTTTTTGTTGGTATGATTTAGGGGCATATTTTCCTTATCTTTAGCAATGGAATTATGGCTAGGAGAGGACAAAGTCGAATTTCGGGGGGTTTTGACTTTTTTTCTGGGGTTATTTAGTGGCATTTTAGATTCTGCGGTGATGGGTGGTATGGTTTTATTATTTATTTGGTTACAGTCTAGTGGCCTTTCGGCTGGTGTTGCACTCTGATGGGATAATTCTGTGTGTTTTGAGAGGGGTGATGCGGTGGGGTCTACTGTATCTTTCACAGGGTTGGGAATAATGGCTGCTTGCAATGTCCTATTACCTATTTCACAATTAGTCTTAGCGAGATAGTTGTATGCGCGCCTTTCTATGACTGTTTTGTCCACCCCGACCTTTATATGTTTGTAGTTTCTGGCTTGCGATAGGGTGTGTTGGGAGTGGATGAATTTTCTGGTCTCTGCCGGTGTTTCGAACTGAAAACGAATAGGACAACACTTTTCATGTTGACTCTTCTTCAGCCTATAGCACTTAGTCTTGGAGTTAGGCATTTTCGCTTCACTAAGTAAGATGCGCTGTACCTTTTTTAGTGCCTCATTGTCCGGAACGTTGTAGACAATAGCACTCAGTTTTGCGTCGAGTCGTTTTGTTACTTCTGTGGTAACAAAATTAATGAGGTTATCTACCTTAGTTACCGATTCTGTGTCAAGCTTGTTAAGGTTTACAGTTTTCATGAGGATAGTTAGAGGTGTCAGTTCACAGACCTGCGATCTGATATCGCTGATCTGATCTGATAATTTGGATATCTCGGTATTGGTTTCGATGTTTCCAGCATTTACTGACTTACTGTTTTTTATTTCCCTTAACTCAGCCTTAAGTTCTCCTATAGACAACTTTAGAAGTTCTATTTCTGAAGATAGTACTGAAAAAGAGCTTGATGGCTGGAGTTTTTCGATAAGCACATAAGGTGAAGGGAGGAGTTCTGTATGAGCAGAGGGTACTGAATTTTTAGGAGTAGTGCTAATACTAGCTGTCAGTACAGTTTTATCCTCAGTTCCAGCTCGACGCTTACGGCATACAAGTGAGTTATGTGACTCACTATAGCCGTTTGTAGGGGGTGTGTTGCTTGATGTAGCAATCAAGGACGTTAAATTAGACACCAGTTTTACAGGGGATTGGGTTCGTTGCTTTTTACTTTGATTAACCATAACTATTAGAAATGAGAGTTAGTGGTTACAAGTATGGAAGTAGTATAGTACTTGTGCAAGTACTACAACAAGATAAATTTTATGTAACGAATCACGTAAAAATGTAACGCAAACGTTGAACGTACTGCGATACATGATCTCGAGGGTGTTTTCTGTCCAAAAAGACCTGTAGCGCCCCTGTTTTTCAAAGTGACTGAGTGTATGAATGTGATTTTCATCAACGATGGGTGAACTGTCGTTGTGGCAAAGTAGTGTCGACACCATACTCTGAGCTTATGACGAATATCCCATGTACATTGTCATGATACAGGTGCCCTCTTTGTTGCCTTGACACAACATCATGCAGCTCTGTACCCAAAAACAACCCATCACCAAAACTAATCAAAAGCCGCAAACAGGATACTCAGGCCCCAGCCGACACTCAAGTCACATCAAGCAAGCGCTCGACAAGCAAAAACTCGGGCAACACTCGTAGGAGTAGATGGGAAACCCCGAATTGCCAAAGGACCACTCGCAACCTTTAGCAAGCTTAGATGAAAGGCACAGACTAATCGAATCCAGGTGACAAGCGGCCGAATACTAAAACAAATTCTGAGTTCAGCCGATAAAACTGCCATACCCTGTTTAATGTACCAGCGTGTAACAAGAACTACTTTGAACAAAGGTCATTGTTTGACCAGGAACAGTGTTCTACTTTATGTAGCAAGTCGGCAAAGTCGTGTAGGCCTCGCTGCGGTGTTTAAGCCCCTCGAGATGAACCACCCCCACTAGTAGTGCCACACAGCCCTGCTGAAGATGGGCAGAATTTATTATTGCTGTCCGAAGTGCTAGCTATGGAAATATGATCAAATATGCGAATAAGACCCGAAAGGGTATAGGCAGATAGGCAAATAGTAAGACGGCCACTGGAACTAATGTCCTCCGCCTCCGTGGTCATACACAGTATTCTGGAGCTGAAAAGTGGCACCTAGACGGCAGGAGGTACACACCTCAAGGGACTCAAATGGCTAATATACTGTTAGCTTGGAAATGGTTGAAGAATTGAGTTTCACCTTTGACAAACAAAAAATATAGCACTGTGTGCATTACTACTATGAGTCATAAGGACCGAGCTGCTAGTTCATCGAGAGAAAACTTGATTCATACACTGCGAATCAGCCCCGTGATGGCACTGCCGGAGCTAAATAAACATCCCCTTGGAAAGTCCCAAAGATGTGACGAAACTCAACAGACTGCTGTGAAAAATGCGCGGAAGCTCGCTGTAGGTTCTTATGTAACCTGTTGAGATACTGCCGAAAAGCGAAGGGCAGCCCTATCCCCTCCTATCTCCAAGTGTGGGGTTCGGGAAAACGGAATAATTTTAGACTGATAAAGCTTTCGTAGCAGCATCTAAGGTACTGAGAATTCTGATTGATGATCATAACGGGGAAGGCCTTGACAGAAACGAAAAACTAAATAAAGCACAATGCGGCTTCAGGAGAATTATATCCTGTGCAACAAATTTATTATCAAATTGGAATGATCGGACACCATGCTGAGATATAGATACTCCAGGCCACGTGATCTTCCTCTGCTTTGAGAAGGCATTTGATAGGATTCAGCATGACCTTTTCCCCTACAAAACTGGTCAGGCGGGTATGGTTAACCCGATCCTCTCATGGTTGGAGAAACACCGGAATAGAGGAGAATTAAGCACCCCATCAGAACGTCCTGTTACAGTACAGCGTTGGGAGTATCACAAGTTTCTCTACTGAGGCCTCCAGTGTTTTCATTTCTATTAATATCTCATTGTTAGGACGAGCTATCCCTGTTAGTTGTAAAATCATGGTTAAAGCAATCAACTTTATACTGATTGTCTGTGGTTTGAATTTCCGTTGAAGTGAGTAGAATAATGTTCTCTATACTGTGAATGATAAAGTTGTTGCAGTTGTCTGGGTTTAATCTGACTTCGTGCCTGCGTGAGTGACAGGGAATACTTCCAAGTGGCCAGCCGACTGGAGATGTATTCTAGTCACTGTAGATAAAAACAAAAGCACTTAAGACCCCTTTACGACACCCGTCATGCCTTTTGAGCTGCCCGAACCTCCTTTACTCTGACTACATAAAGATAGAGAGTAATAGGGTGCCATAAAGGCTTCCATAGGCTGCAGACAGACCTAAAATCTCCGGCCGAATTTGCACTGGTAAGTGTTATGACTTTCAGCTTGAAAAACTGCAAGGTTAGTAGAACTACGAAGGGTGTAATTTACTGCTTGTGCAATGATAACCTGTCAGGTGTAGTGTCAAAGAGCTACTTAGGTCAACTTCTAAAGGCAAAATCGACACACTTGTGAATCACATTTGTGATGTAGCGAGAGTATATGTGGCTATGCGATTTAGAGGGTTAGGTGCCCTTAACCCTGAGCTTTCTCTTAGATTGTACAAAACACACATGAAAGCAAGTTTAAGTGAACAATGTCATTAATAACCCGTTACTAAAATGGGAAGTCAATATTCTGGAGGTTACCCAAAGACGGTGAAAAGGAGCAGTGGTTCGCCACTTAATAAATGAAGTCTTCCTGCTTAGCAACCACTGGCTCAGAGCGGACTTAATTAATGTTTTCGGGATTACGATTAAATATAATCACCAAAACAAAGATATTCTGCACACTAGGTGAGCACGTGCTTCCTAGCGGCAATCCACGAAGGATAGCTCATCAGAGCGAGTGAGCGTCCATATCTTCGATCTTGAGGTTTTCCGCCTCTGAAAATCTTTTACAGAAGATATGGCTACTCCTGTATCAGTGAAAACCTTCAAGTGGAAACTAAACAATCATGCAGTGTACGATAACTGTGTCGAAGTGGCCTATCCCCGTAAAACTCACACACAACGAAACTTGCCCTTTACCACTGGCCATTCTCCTTTGTCTCAGTCTTCTGAATGCTCCACCAATTAATTCACTTACTTTGTTATCACTATTTTCTATCTGTTCGTTCATATATGCGATTTTAATTGTGTCTTTTTTTATCATATACCCTACGCTTATTATGCTTATTATTTATCACAATTATTATCCTTTTTGTGACCACATCAGGTGACTGATGGGTGTGCAGTGCGCTTACAGGCGAAAGGAAAAACTGCATTCACAGCGAAATGACCTTGAAACAGCGGATAAAATACATATAACCAGTCCACGTATCAATCCCCTGGAGTTAACCAGGTCTGCGACAATAAGTTTGCGCCTGAAACCAGGATCCTTTATCTTACAACAGGTAGGCGAGAACATGGGGATCAATTCGGTTTATCCAATTTGAAATTTAGATATTAGAATTCCCTACACAATCCCGTAGTTTAAATTTTGACGTTACACTTCGCTGGAATCATGATGATAGTTCAGGATGAGATTTTTGGACTCATTTCTTCGTATTAACTGTCTGAAAATGGTAAAAAGCGAGCAAAAGTTTTAATTTTTTCACCAGGGGTTAAGTAGTTCCCAGCTGGAAAAAGAAATTGCCAGTGACCAGCTACTCAGTGGTGAGCGGTATTTCGGACTAGTAAATGTAGGTCTACCTATCTTTTCACGGATTCATAGTTTGGGAATACATGCTACTGTAATTCAGTGATACAAGCTCTGTTTTTTTGCAAGCCTTTTCGGGACAAGGTCTTACAATATAATGACCGAGCAAAAAATCCCAAAAAAGAAACGCTACTTACTTGTCTTTCGGACTTATTTTACTCAGTCGTATCTCAGCAAAGAAGAGTTGGCCAGATGCGTCCTAAAAAATTCATACAAAAGCTCAAGAGAGAAAATGGTTTTGCTGTATTTTTCTTAACTAACTGTATAGGCTTGTTCGACAATTATCTGCAACAGGATGCGCATGAGTTCCTGAATTATCTCCTTAACAAAATAGCCGATATAATAAGAGGTAATCAGCATAAATGGAATTGTAGTTTTTAGCTGAACAACGGTCATCGGAAAGTGGTGATACAGAGGTTGTTAAAGATGGGGTAATCGATGCTGTAGAGAACGATAAAAGAGGTACAAACCAAAACTGGATCCATGAGATTTTCCAAGGAAGTCTGACTAACGAAACAAGGTGCCTTAACTGTGATAACGTCCGTACGAAGGAGGAAAATTTCCTCGATTTGTCGGTTGACGTTGGAGAAAATGTGGACATTTCTTACTGCCTGCGTTGCTTTTCTGATACTGAGACAATGCGTTCAGACAACAAGTACTACTGTGAATTTTGTCGATGCAAACAGGAAGCCCAAAGACGGTTAGTTGTTTTTTGTTGGTTTTGGTGTGTACGTTGTGGGATTGCACCAGTTTCAATTTGGCTGATCACTAATGAAATTTCAGCTGTGAGATACAAAAGGCTCGTTTGACATCTACCAACTTGCAGCATCTCTTGCATGTATATAAGATCTAGCTATCGATCAAAAGACGTGTTTATTGCTAAGCAGTCCGCCCTGTCGTTCCTACGGCTAAGACATTACCGTTAAAAGTGAAGGATTAGGATAACCTACCTCTTTTTGCGTCTTCTCTTTCGTAGTAGGTGGTATAGTATGGTCAGCAATATCGAGGTTAAGCACGGAGTGTTAGGTAAGAAGTGGAATTTGACCGATGAGGTTGTGGAGCTTCATTGATGGCAGAGGCTAGGACATCTGTTACGCATGCCAGGCCATTACCTTCCTCGTCGAGTAATATTAATTGATGAGACATGCGATTTGGTTCTGAAAGTTAGGGTTGGTCTAGTTAAGAACCTGTTATCATTCTTTGACTTGACCTGGTAGGATAGTGTAGACCATCTGGCTATTGTCTTAGAAATGCTAAGAATCAATGGCAAAAGACTTGATGTTATGGCTGGAAATTTCGTGCATTGATTCATTCCATCCCTGTGATTTTTTAGGTTTATTAAATCCTCTCCATGCTTCACCTAATTATTTTCGTGTACACTTTCTTTTATTAGTGTTTCTATTGCATTTGTACTGTCTTCTTCTCTACGTGATAGCAAGTTTATTTATGGCAGTTGTGCATGAAGTTCTAAGTTGGTAATTCAATTCACTTCAGTTAATTAGTTGCTTCCACTACTTCTCAGGATGCTGCAAATTAAACTGCTATTTCACAGTGGTCTATATGCTGCAGTTCATTTTTTGAGGAGTTCGACTGTAGTCCAGGACTGTGCTTTTTGTTCTTGGGCTTTCATTTCACATTCTTTGTCTTCTGTAGTATCCTAATCTAGTTGAAGTAGTAGTCGTAAGCCTGTTGCACGCCAAGTGTAAAATTTTATCCCTGCAGTTTTCAAATCTCACTAAAGATAGGGACCAAAATCTTATTACAAGATCTATCTTGAAAACGTCAATCCAATTGACACTTGCACTAAAACAGATTAAGGGGACATCGGTTCGTGAAGTTCTTGTCGGCTTACGTAACAAGGGGAAGCACTCATTATCTGAGTTAAAATGTTTTAACCGAAGATTGAGTGACGCATACCGAACCAAATCACAACAATACATATTTCGCATCACATGGTTCCAGTAATCTGAAATAACGCCAGGTTTCAAGTTATTTCAATCAGTTAGTATATCACGGAGAAGTAGAGTGGGCAGTGACACTTCCACCATAATTCACGTTACATTTGTATTTCATGCTGCTGTTTGGCCGGTAATTATGTGCTAAGTTTTTTCTCCGTATTTTTTTTATTTCTTTTATTTTAGTATGCGTATCAAAAAACCACCCTTACTTCTAGCCCTCCATTTAAAACGTTTCAAGTACTCAGAAAATCTTAATAGGTTTATCAAGTTGTCCTACAGAGTTGCCTTTCCAATGGAATTGAGACTTTTCAATACGGTTAGTCGTCTGATATTTTTGCTTGGATTATTTTCCGTGGTGACGTTTCTGTGCTTATTATTGAGAACTAACATAAAATGTAACAGTAAGTCACAAGCTACACTGTTAGTCGTTTCGGTTGTTGCTAACTGCAGTTGGAAAGTTAGTTTACTTGTAAATTAGTTTCATGAAGAGTTTTTCGTTCACCTACACTCATTTTCTTTCCAGAAGCCATCAGTATCTTAAGATCGCTGTAGTAACATAGGCGTTCAATTAGAATACACCTATAAACCCCTGGTTTTCCATCTATCCGTCGTTTCCAGTAAGTTCCCAGAATAAGAGCGATTTGAAAACTCCAATCTTTCCAATCGAAAATTGCATACAACCACGCAGGTGCCAAAATGATATTTCACTGCTGTACATACAATCATAAATTTTGCTATTGGTAATATTTCGAGCAAAATTACTGCCCGTGTTCACACCATTGTTGGAATTGTTTTGTTTTTTAATTCACACATTTATGATTCGTACTCATATACATAGTTTATTTTTTTCCGTTCATTCATTTTTGTGTATTCAGAACTATATTCCAGGTTGTTGACAGTTGTACTGACTCACCCTTGTTACATGTATCCGGTATGACATTAGTGAATATAGATTCTGTTATGTCTCTCTCTTTCCATTTGTTCATATTAGTTTTTGGAATACAAACATTGTTCCAGTCGACATTTTGGTTTTTGTCCCATCCATGTGTGCGGCTATAGATGAATTTTTTTCTAAATTCTTGTAGGCTTGTGTTCCTGTTGGTTGACCTTTGGTTAGGCGTTCATGTTCATTCACTCTTATTTTGAGTGATCTGGACGTTTGACCGACATATTTAGCCGAACACTCTCCACAAGATATTTTGTAAATCACATTGTTTTAATCCATCATTTTTATGGGGTCTTTCAGTTGATTTATTTTACTTTAATTAGATTCGTTGGTTTAGACGTTGTGCAAATCCCGATCTTTTTGAGGTCTCTTCGAATTGCCTCTGATGTACCACTTTTGTGTGGTATTGTGACTGTTTTTTGCCTTACGCCGTCTTGTCATTCTCCGGTTTTACCCCTTTTTTCTCTCTTTTCTGTACTATCTTTGATAAATTCTTTTTGGTAGTTGTTGTCGTGTAACATTTTGAGTAGGACGTTTATTTCTTTACGCTGGTCCTCCTCTGGTGTTGTTGTAAGTCTACATATTCTATCTGCAAGACCTTGTATTAATCCTCGTTTTATCGTCAGTGGATGAACTGAGTGGTAATCAAGGAATCTTCCAGAGTGTGTAGTTTTTCTATATAGCGTCGTTTTTTATGTTACCATGTGTTACTCTTTGTATTTTGCAGTCTAACACAGGCAGTTACCCAATTTCATTCTCTATTTCCACAGTGAATTTTATTGAGTCGACATGACTGTTTATGTGCGAGAAGAATTTCTCAACATCCTTTTTTCCTGATTATTACTAACGTGTCGTCTACATATATCCACCAACATTTTACTGATGACCTGAATGGTTTAAGTGCATTCTCTTCCCAAAAATCCATGAATACGTCAGGAATTATTGGTGAGATGGGCGATCCCATAGCTACCTGCTTCATTTTGTTGGTATATTTTTCCTTCAAATGTAAAATATGTTGTTGTCAGACAGAATTCCACCTCTTTTATTATCTCTTCTAAGGATAACTGTGTCCTGTCTTTTAGGCCATCAACTTCTTTTAGTTTCGTTTTCAGTGCATTCATGGCCATTTGAATGAGTATTTTAGTATACAGACTGTTTACATCAAAGCTGACTAGTATTTCCTCTTCCTCTATTTTAGTCTTTCTTAGTCGTCTCACTAATTCAAATGAATCTACTATTCTAGCTTTTGAGTTCCCTCTTGTCGGTATTAGTTTTGTTGGGAGAAATCTTGACAGCACATACATTGGTGTGATTTTAAGGTGTACAATCGGTCTTATTGGGAATCCTTCTTTATGCAGTATTATCTTACCATATATTCTAGGTATATTACATAATTTTGGCATAATTTCAAAGCATTTGAATCCTATATCCAGATGGTAAATGTTCTTGGACCCTACAAACTAATGACGAAATCATCAGAAACAGTTACAAATGAAACAATGAAAGAAACAGCTAAGGTAGTTAGACAATTAAAAGAAGTAATTGCTGAGTCGAAATGGTTTGAAATTATGCCAAAATTATGTAATATACCTAGAATATATGGTAAGACAATATTGCATAAAGAAGGATTCCCAATAAGACCGATTGTACACCTTAAAATCACACCAATGTATGTGCTGTCAAGATTTCTCCCAACAAAACTAATACCGACAAGAGGGAACTCAAAAGCTAGAATAGTAGATTCATTTGAATTAGTGAGACGACTAAGAAAGACTAAAATAGAGGAAGAGGAAATACTAGTCAGCTTTGATGTAAACAGTCTGTATACTAAAATAGTAATAATCAGGAAAAAAGGATGTTGAGAAATTCTTCTCGCACATAAACAGTCATGTCGACTCAATAAAATTCACTGTGGAAATAGAGAATGAAATTGGGTAACTGCCTGTGTTAGACTGCAAAATACAAAGAGTAACACATGGTAACATAAAAAACGACGCTATATAGAAAAACTACACACTCTGGAAGATTCCTTGATTACCACTCAGTTCATCCACTGACGATAAAACGAGGATTAATACAAGGTCTTGCAGATAGAATATGTAGACTTACAACAACACCAGAGGAGGACCAGCGTAAAGAAATAAACGTCCTACTCAAAATGTTACACGACAACAACTACCAAAAAGAATTTATCAAAGATAGTACAGAAAAGAGAGAAAAAAGGGGTAAAACCGGAGAATGACAAGACGGCGTAAGGCAAAAAACAGTCACAATACCACACAAAAGTGGTACATCAGAGGCAATTCGAAGAGACCTCAAAAAGATCGGGATTTGCACAACGTCTAAACCAACGAATCTAATTAAAGTAAAATAAATCAACTGAAAGACCCCATAAAAATGATGGATTAAAACAATGTGATTTACAAAATATCTTGTGGAGAGTGTTCGGCTAAATATGTCGGTCAAACGTCCAGATCACTCAAAATAAGAGTGAATGAACATGAACGCCTAACCAAAGGTCAACCAACAGGAACACAAGCCTACAAGAATTTAGAAAAAAATTCATCTATAGCCGCACACATGGATGGGACAAAAACCAAAATGTCGACTGGAACAATGTTTGTATTCCAAAAACTAATATGAACAAATGGAAAGAGAGAGACATAACAGAATCTATATTCACTAATGTCATACCGGATACATGTAACAAGGGTGAGTCAGTACAACTGTCAACAACCTGGAATATAGTTCTGAATACACAAAAATGAATGAACGGAAAAAAATAAACTATGTATATGAGTACGAATCATAAATGTGTGAATTAAAAAACAAAACAATTCCAACAATGGTGTGAACACGGGCAGTAATTTTGCTCGAAATATTACCAATAGCAAATCGCGATTGTATGTATACCAGTGAAATGTTGCTTTACTTTATTTTGTGTTATCCACAATGCTTAAAGCATTTTACTGACAGTTGCATGACTGGCTTTTGTAAAGCAGGGAGTTATTTCCGATTTATGTTTATGTCATGATGTACACTTACTTTACTTCGGCTATCTCCTATGGGTGGATGAGCCGGCTTCATGAACATCTCGAATCATCGCTGCCCAGGCGGGGCGATCTGATGCAAGGTTTTGCGACAGGGTTATCCAATTCTTGTTCCACAGGCGGAGACCGTAGTCGGTTTGTAGCCCCAGGCACTTCATATCAGCCTTGACTGTTCCAAGCCATGTTTTCAACTGTCCACCCCTGCGACATTGCCAAGGTGGAAATGGCGATGGATTTAGAACTGATTTGACCAGGTCGTCATCTGGTTGGTGCAGAACATAGCCAAACCACCGAAGGCGCCGTTGTTGGACCAGTACTGGAATTTGGTTGATCTTGTAGCAACGAGAGTTCATGAAGTTTCATGGGAATTAGGTACGAGTGATGTGCCCAGCATCGCTTGGCCTTTTGTTTGAGAGTGCAGCTCTAGCCTTTACTCAACCAAGTGTGACCTACAAGGGAGTAGGAGTGGAGTAGGGAGTTCACTATCCATTGGCACTCGGTGACCGGAGTCTGGTTCATACGCCTTTTTGAATGGGGCCAGACATCCAGGGCATCCAATGAGCCCTTTGTCCATACGTCTGCCGGTGAGCTCCGGTGAGCTTCATACGCCAGTCGTTGGAGGTTTGTAATCAGGGTTTAGCCATCTCCTTTAGACTGTCATCCAATGGACAGTCAACCCGGTGAAGAGCGCCGGGCATCCGCTTTCGCCCTCTCACTTCGGTGATGTGCAGGTACTTGGTGGTATATTTTTTTATTTTGCTGCAGTGTAATTTAGGATGAAATCTCACAATCTTTTGCGCGTATTCGTCTCAGTTTTTATGTTTTGTCCCATATGTTTTTTGATTGGTAATGGTTTCATAGGAATCAAAATCTATGTTCACATAAATCGGATATTGTTGAATCTATCTTACAAACTTGTTTGCCTACTATATCTAGCTGTGGCTACTGGCACTCAAGCTACTACTCCTGCACTTTATATATCAGGAAACGTTCCTACAGTCATTCTGTCTGCCTTGTTCTAGGAAGGCCTAACCATTTGTACTTTTCATTTATATATTTTGTAATCCGCTTTCTCCTTGTTTTCGTCAGCATTCTTATGCCTTTATTGATCTCGATTCAAGTGTTGTTTACGTACTTTAGGTGTTTGGTGTTACTCAATCTGCCTGAATGTTGTTTCCCATAACCGTTCTGTTCTCACTATTCGTGTCACTACACAGATGTTTACTCATCATCTCGTTTATAGTATTATTATGTCTACAGCCAATTATTATATACAGTTCATATCCGTCTTACCACTTTATCAAGAAATCATAATTATATTTATACGCAGCCATGCGTATTGAAGTTTGGGGTAGTTTGGTTGAAAGTAACATTGTTCGCTTAGGTATTTTCTAAATTTTACTGTGACAATCTTAATCATATACTTTCCATTACATTCAGTCTTGTATGAAACCAGCGGTAAAGACTTCACAAAATCTTTAACACAGTTATACGACTTAAGAGGCTTGTATGTACACGAAGACAACTTATTTTATACAAGTAGTTTTACATGTTTAATGACAATGATTGCAATCATTATGTCATAATGTACTATTGCCTTGACTAGTTTGGAAGACTATTAGCTGTAATGTCTGTCTGTCTGTCTGTTTTCGACATAGAACTTTGCACATATGTGCGCCAGTTCAAGTCGCCACACTCCCTCCGTGTAGCACACAAACCAACAGAAGAAAGTAGAAGAAATGCTTAATAGGGATAGTAAACAGAGGTGTGAGACAAAGGAATATTAACTGTAATGGTTGTGGCGTTAAAAGGTTGTTCACCTATTGCAGTTATTACATACCGTAAAGATCTTATAACTTCAGCTAAATTAGCTTTCTTGTTATGACGCTTTATGGTTGACCTTAACATGTCTACCACATCCCATAGAAATGCTATTCTGTGTATACTCAGAAATGTGTTATCTCGAGTATTCTACTTCCAGCACTTGTTTCGCAACTTTAGAGCATGAAAAACGGATACAATACTCGTATTTTGCCAAGTTATTGGATATATCTCACAAATGCCAACGGTGGAATCAATGCACCATATCATTGAGAAGTTTATTGGTTGTTGATTTAATCAAGAAGTTATAAATATACTTGTAGTCAATAATAAAGATGAACGTTGTATTACAATATTCACACATATAAACATGAATAGTTATTGGTGATGTATTCCAATCTTTTTTGATATTGTAATACTGTGTCTGTACTACTTTCCATTTACAAATGACGTTTTTGGCACAGTTCATTGCTTATAATCAAATCAAGGCACTCGCATAACTTTCCAACTTCGTCTATATATTTCTATTGCTTTTTGTCTTTTGATTTTATTGGTAGCAGTATTTTTCATATCTCTGGTTTCGGCGTCGCACTATTTTTATTCTGCATTTCATGCGTAGACTTGACAAGCAAAGTTTCGGTAATCAGCCTCCCTCACCATCCACCTGTATCACTTCTTAAAACTGTAGTTCTGCTCCAACCTATCTTATGCCAATGCATACATTCAAATTGCCCACTTTTTCCTCAAACTTCATTTTCTCAGGGTCAATCACTCTACGCTTGGCTAAATTTTTGTCCTGATAATGTGACTACCCCCAATAACCTGGTCTTCTGCATTTGACCTTACAACCTTAGCAAGTTTTTTGTGGACTACATTTTTTTTATCTGATTGGGTCAGCGGGGTCCTTTGATTTAGAGCTTGTCCTTGAGTGAGTTTGTAGGTTTAAATGCCACTGCAATTCCTTCTTTGTTAATAATCCTACGTGGGGTCTTAGATGTCTCTTCTTATATATGGTAAAACATGGATGCTTTAAATCCTTTCTCATTAGTATTATAGTCATTGGCCCTATTATTACTTTTCTATTTCTCGTGAGATTTTTTGGTCTTCCTGGTGAATTTGATGAGATAATTGTTCATCATCCACAATTCATTTATCTGTTCCATTTCATTATTTCGGTTTTCCGATGTACTACTTAGAGTTATTGTTAGACATCTAACTAAGCCTGCCTTTGCATATAACAGATGAGATCAATTAGTCTAAATGTTAGCTTTTTATAAACTCCAGTAAATCGTTTCATTTCTCCTGTTCATTTTACTATGCAATCTAAACTAATTCTTGATATAAGTATGAAACTTGGGCACTGTGGTAGAGTATAACTCCATTATAGATAAAATTACACAGTGTTATACAGTAATATTAATTGATGACGTTTACAGCACAAACTATTGCCACTCATAATCATATCAAGTTACTCACACAACTTTTTATTTCATTTATATACATTAGTGGAATTGATGATCAGACATTTGAATAAAGAGGATGCAAAGTTATGTGAATGGGGAAATCAATCGAGGAGGCTGTGAAATTACACCGACTGAGATGGTTAGGACATGTGTTACGTATGCCTAGTCATCGCCTTCCTCGACAATGGGCAATGTTAGCTGATATAGGGTCAGGTTGGAAAAGAGCTAGCGGAGGTCAAACGAAAACATAACACCAGTCAATGAAATCTACAACAGTTAGTTTAAATCAGTCAGCTACGTAGGAAGGTGTAGACTTCCTGGTTGGAGTCCTCGGGACGGTAAAAACCAATGGTTGGAAACAATTGGTGACATGGCTCAAAATCGTTCTCAATGGCCGGTGCAGACGTATCCACTCCTTGTGACTTATGATTTCCAATGAAACTATATTGTTCTTCGTTATTACTATTCCTTTGTCTCACACCTCTGTTTACTGTTTCTCTATATTATACATTTCTACTTTCTTCTGTTGGTTTGTGTGCTACATGGAGGGAGTGTGGCGACTTTGAACTGGCGCACATATGTGCAAAGTTCTATGTCGAAAACAGAGAGACAGAATCTCCTGATATGATTATAAGCAATAAATTGTGCTCCAGACACCATTTGTAAATAACACTGTATCACTGGGTGCTTTTTTATCAAATGAATTTATTCTATGTTGTGATTATACTCTACGGTGATATTCAAGCTCTATTTTTATATAATGTTTAACAAGTTATTCATTCATTTATCCATGTTTGCTAAACAAAAAAAACATAATTCACACTTATTGTTTACTTTATTAATAGTCTAGCGACTCATCTAACGCTGATCGGCTCTACAATCTGATGGCTGTCGTTGTCCACTCAGGATCTGGTCCTAATCGTGGACACTATGTAACACTAGTGAAATCTCATGGTCTGTGGTTTTTATTTGATGATGAACTAGTAGAAGTAGGTTTAATGCTCATGGTTTTGATGTTTTATTGTGTCGTTTTATTGTATTTACTAATTGGTTAATTTCTTCTTTAATAGATTTCGATTGTATTGTCATATGAAGTCTGTGGAAATTGTGATGTTTCGGTGCAATATATATTTCTAAATATCCGATCATTCGTTAAAGCGTATATGAAATTGACGAAACGGGTAGCGCCATTAATAATAAACAAAATAAGAGGAAATTTAATAAAGAATAGGAGGATAACGTATGTATCATTATATAAGGATTACCAAAGAGAACTTGATATAATGAATCGCTCCAGCATACTCCAGTATGCTCCTGTCCTCTTCTTTTTTATCAAATCCTCAAGGCTATTTCTAGGAATTTCATGCATTTATTCGCCTTAATGAATTTGAGCAAATCAAGAACTACAGTTTTTGCAGAATAAAGTGGTAGCATCTTTTATTTTGTTGCCTTCTCGTCAGCTGCTTACAGGCCAAAGACATCATTAAATATATCTACAAAAACAATTTTAACACACTTGCACAGAGTCCGTTTTAAACAAAGATCAATCGATCAGTATATGCATACAGTAGTTATATATATATATATATATATATATATATATATATATATATATATATTAAACACTTCCGAACAATAATAATAATCATACACAATGGAAATTTTACAGCTTTACGCATTCAGATGAAAGAGAGATGAAAAATATCCAGTTACCAGGGCAAAGAAAGACTGATAACTCTTTCTTTCTGAACGCACAAATCAGGTTTCAGGCGCTTGATGAAAATGGCTTCAACAAACTTGAGGAAAATTAAGCTGTTGTGCGTGTTGATAATTTTAGAGCGACTCATAGGCTAATCCTATGATCTATGTCTGTAATGTGTTTTGTTATCTTAGAAGGCGATGTGATTTGACGTTTAGGTAATCCAGCTAAGCGTTCCCAACATCCTTATCTCTTTATGCATACATAGTTACACAAACATATAAATTGGTTGCACAATGGGGAATGTAATGTGTAATCGTTTGTGCAATGTTTAGATTCGTTATGCGGCGTCTGTTTCGTTTTCTAAATAATGATAAACTGATTTTATTATGGTTGTGTTCCCTGTGCTGCATGGTTTAATTGCAAAGTCTTCATTGTCTTTCTAGGCAACATCTTCAGCGCAAACTTCAGTATGATAAAAGGACCACCTAGTATGCTCTACTGATGACATCGTAATATGTTCAAAACTTAGTATAGGACACAAACTTGGTACAATATGGGCATCAAGAAATACTCCATACAACAATGTATTTTAAAAAATAGGGAGAGAATGGATAAAAAGGAAATCATCCAAAAGCAGGCAAGCGTACTTGTCAGTATCCGTCAACATTCATCGCTTTATGTTAATTTCAGAAAGGGAAGAAGGAGGCGAATTGCAGAATGTTCTCCGTTGATTGCGATTCTTGACCATATCCGATAACGGCTTGAGTCACCGACTCGAACTATCCTTCGAACGCCAACCAGGGAGTTATCGTGTACCAGCGAATACTAACCGTAACACAATTATCGTTCATCTCACGGCGCCACGTCATAGACTTACCACTGACCAGACACTGATTGCCAACTGATTGACTGCGGTTTAAACAGAAAGACCACATCGTCTGCATACTCAAGATCGAAAAGTTTTCCTCCAGGAAGCAGATCTATATCACCATCACTGACGGCCCTCACGGGGTAACTCGAGAATTTCCTCTGTGACAAATTTAGAAAGACGTGGAGGGACTGGGCAAGCCTTTGTGACCCTACCTTTAGTTGGGGATAGTGATAATAGCTGGTTGTATGCCCTCAATCTACCTAGAGTTCACCTGTATAGGGTTGTCAGGATATTGATAAACTTCTTAGGTACACCTCTTTCTAACAGACAGATGTAGAGAGTAATTCTCTCCAGCGAATCGAAGGCGGCCCTAATATCAAGAAACACAACGATTGTTGGCCTACCATGTGTGGTGGTGTTCGGGGAACTGATGAAGAGTGAACACATGAAGGAAACATCTTTGGTCCGGACGAAATGTAGCCTGCTCTTCTCGAACCATGTGTTTTACATAATCTGCAAAGCCAAACAACAGGCAGTATTTTGGACACGATTGGTGGTAAAGTGATACCCCTATGGGTTGTCGCATGTTTCAGTATCATATCGCTCATTTTCCTCACATAAAATAACTCAGTATGGACATTCGTTTTTGGAATACAGTAGTGTAGGATTTAATTTTGACTGTTGTGTATTCCAGCCCATAAACTTCAAATTACATCCGTTTCCTACGAATACATTAGTCATCAGTTTTCTGTCGTTTATCAGATGTATAAATACACTAGATCTCTTTTGTATCGCTTTGGGGGAAAATTTAACTGCTTTTTCCAAAGAAGCATTGCGTTAATCGACTGTTTCATTGGGTCATCTCTACGGTTAAAAAGAGTGTCCAAAAACCAAGTTGTTTGTCACCTTGACCCGTCATATGTAAGGTTCATGTAATCTTGTACAGCGTTGAGTGTTTAGTAGACACTTCTCATATTTATGGGTATTGGATAATACAATGATACGTCATACTTCTGTAACGAATAAATCACATGCAACGTTTTCAGTCCAAATGACACGTACATCGACCAATGCACAGTCAAGTGTGGAGACAACTGGTGATATACCCATCATGGATGAGAAATGTCACCATTTTACGTCAAAGAACTGTGTCTACTTGTCTTTGATATTCACATTGATAAAACAGTCAACATGTTTCAGAGTATCTTTCAATGAAAATACATGGTTCGTTGGAAATCAGATTTGTAAGCGTGTGTTAGCTATTTGGCCGATTATTCCTAGGGAGAATGAAACATCGATATTACTGAACGTGTAGTAAATTATCAATTCTACTGATTTTAAGACATCTGTACAGATTTGAGATTTCATATCCTGTTCCTCGGAGAGTCAAGTCTCCATCATTATCAATAATATTCATGCTGCGAAGCTATACTAAATTAGTTTCTACTTATGTAGTTTTCTAACATGATCTGGTGACACCATCCACCATGACTTGACTTTCGTAGCAAAGAAAATAGGTCTTAGTGTTTTATATAATCGCACACATATGTCACCCTTTTTCTTTATCCTTTGTCAGTTTGAAGAATAATGATACTAGACTTACTACGCAGTTATCTCAGGTGCTTGAAGTATTGTGAAGTTAAAATACTTTTCTCCTGTGGTGGTTCTGAATTATAGGATGGGTAAATAATAATAATAATATCGATTAAGTTGGCCTTCAACCACTTTGATTATCAAAGTGATGTGTGAGAACTAGGGAAATCAGCTGATCATAGCAGTTTACAAAGCGGGCGTCGATAATTGAATCAGAAATGTTGGTTTGTAGGATAGGAGAATTAGCATCCAAGGAAGACTACCGCTTTCTCATATTCTAAAAGATTAACAGATGTCGGATCTGTTGTATATTTATCCACATATATATTAGGTATGAGTCTATTTGATGATCATTAATACAAAGTTTGTCCGATTTCCTGCCCCCCCCCCACCGTTATTAAACTGGATGTGACAAATTAAAGAAGTATCAGGCAAGGCATTTGAAGGTAGCACGTTAGGTTCAGCTTCTCGTATAAATCAGCCCTGTCATCAGACTGTTCTATCTAGATTTGTAGCTGTAATTGATTGTACCTGGTTTAGGTTGTCTGATATGTTGATGGTTTATTCAAATATAAAGACATCACTTGAACTAGGATTCAGACATATTTCATTATATTTGAACAACCTAACAACAGATTCCAGGAGATTTAAGCGCCAATAAGGGTGTGCCAGTTCTTTGTGATTCTCAGCTTCTCACATCATGAAAATTAATATTTTTTCTTAAAGCATCCGAAGTTTGAAGTTCAGGAGGTGTCTGTCTGAAAGATGAAATTGTTCCAACCAAGTCAAATAAAACAAAATAATTTCACTTAAGACTTCAGATCTTTGCTAATCAGGAGAAATTTATTCAAAAGAATATTCATCTTGACTTTGTAAGCAACTTTAAATGAATTTTCTATACAGATTAAGTGACCAGTGTTAACAATGTGCTCATTTATATCACTTTATAGTCGTGTAGGTTAATATTCCTTACCTCTTTTCGATGCAGTTTTTTTATTGCATAATTAACATATCTCGCTTCATAGGAGCAATTGAATTGTTCAATGCACAAGGGTGGTCAAATACGCTAGTTTATTTTTCCAGGTATTAGAGAACATTAGAAAGAATTAATCTTAATGTCTTGGCAAAAAATGTTGTTGCAAGAGCATTTAATGCTGCCTTTAGAGTGCCGGCGAGATGGCTTCATTCATGTATGCGCCTTCCTTAGACACAGGGGTACAGTTTTTCAGTTTGTTTATGTTTCTTGTTTTTTTTTATAAAGCATATGGGATACCTGTTTTCACTAAGCTATCTATTTACTCAGAAGGCAAGTCACATTATCTAGCGACTCTTATTGAAACATTGGGATCCAAATCACAAGAGAGATATTATCAGGTTTCTTTTGCGACTTATGAGCAACTCTGTGTAGCTTCTGCGATCGTCGTGTTTCTCAGGTGTTCTGAACTTACTGTTTTTAGCTTTTAAACATGGTCAGAACGAAATAACTGGCTGTTTTTACCTTACGTCGTCTTATTTCGTGTGTAAATATTACAAATTATTATAGAATAATGTTTATTGTATTATGATAAGTGTTTTGAATTATTTCTCTATCTAGAAAATCCATCGTGCTAATATTGAAGACTTTTTTGGTTCATCAACGGAAACGTCGAAATCTTCATATACAGCTTATATTCTATTCTATTTAGATGCCAAGGTTGCATCGAATGCGTCGGCTTCTGATGTGACTTCTGCCACACCTGCCACTACTGGTGCCAATTCTACATTGATTAGTAATAGTAGTGGGGGTAGCACCAGTAGTACAGCTAGTTCAATGTCAACTTGATTAATTTTTATTAACTTAAAGTAACGATTTCTTTTATTCCCATGTGTTGTAACTTTACAATACTGTCGCCTTTCTTTTTTCTTTTCTTTCTTATTTATGTTTCCCTACTTATTGTGTCACTTTCTGAGTTTTTTTTTCTACATTTTTAATTTTCTGTCTAAACTTCAATACATAATGTAGGTTCTGTTTGCGTTTATGAGTCATCTATTCCATATTCACGTACACAAACACAAAGGTGCAATCAGATTATTTTGACTTATTGTATTGCATACCTCTGTTTAATTATCCTTGATTGATTTTCTCCTGTGTACAACACGTCTTAGTGTATGTATATGTGTATGTTTTGTACGTGAGAAGGAGTCAAAATAAATTAACAGTGGAAATACTGTAGCATTGTTTTTCCTTTTACTAATTTTTTTGTGTTCTAGTGACAACAGTTGTGTTTGCTTTTTGTTTTAAATTTTCATTCACCCGCATTTTCCCGTTAATTTTGCCTGTTTCAAATCGATAATTCTCTGGAGGTGAGCAGTGTTCTGAAAAAAATGTCTAGGTTTAATTTTTCCCAACAGCTATTTACGTGTAATTTCAGAATATAACATGTCGGAAGCATTTTAATAAGAACTGCTTTCTCCTAATTACGCACTATTGCTTTACCTGAAATTGACCTTCTGTTAACTGAATTTTTGCTGTGAAGCAAGCGCTTCCCTATGTTAGTGGCATAAGTCAATAAGTTGATTGCTGTAGAGCTAGGCAGATGCCAAGGTGTAAATACCATTGTATTTTATATGCCCGTATCTGACTCCGAAAATGTTTCATGGAGAAGCGCAGCTAGTTTTGATTTCTAGTTATTTTTCAGGTGATTATTTCAATCTATTGAAATTGATGTACCATAATATTTGCTTTCTGTTAATGAAGAGAATAGCGTGTAGAGCTTCATTAGTCATAACTACTTGTTTGTTCTCCTTTGTAACTGACAAGTGTGAAGGTGTATCCTTGAGAGACAACCACAGATTAATATCTTTAATAGTCAACTTATTATCATGAAATTGATATTGTATTATACTTTCTAAACAAAGAAAGTGGGGTGATATTTTTTTATTCCTGGTTGTTTCTTTGTTCTTTGTGGATTTGACGTTTTTTTATAACAGATTATTCGTACTCTATGATTTTATTTATCAAACTTCAGATAAACGTAAAGCACTACGTACTAATAGCATGCATCGGTGGTGGCACAGCGGTTAGGACGCCCGCCAACCATGCACATGATCCGGGGTTCGATCCCGGCCACAGACGCACTCCTTTACCTCGCTAAGCCAGTAATAAAAAAAAGCTTGTAAAGACGAAAGGTTGGGCATGAGGCTAGTAACCCCCATCCCGTAAAAATAAACACTTCTACATAAACTTCAAGCCACTGGCTTGAAGCAACCCTATGTTCCATTGAGAATGTGAAGGAATAAAAAAAAACTACGTACTAACAATGGTGTAATTAGTTTGTGTTTTTCAAATCTCATTCTAATAAACTCAGTTATTGTCTTCATAGGCGAACACCGTTTTTCAACGACTAATGGATTAGAGATTTGTATACATTGCCCGCAATTTGTATCTATTTCTTTCCTTCATCTAGATAGGCAAGTGTGCAATAATTCAACAACTGCATGTACAACTCTGTGTGGGCATCTATCAGACACATGGCTCAAATGAGGGATGCTTATCTAAGCAGTGACTGATGACATGAAGCTGAAATTCACGACTTTTGATTTAAAATTTCCATATCTATAATTGTTAACTGCAGTTTCATAGTCGTTAGACATTTGTGTCCAACTGGTACCAGTGTAAATTAGACTTTAGTATATTCTGAGTAGGCAGTTACATGAATGGATACTGAACAAAGAGTACTCTTCTCGATAAATTCATCATCAGACTGTACAGTTATACATACATTATAGTGAATGAATGAATTAGTGTTATGAACGACATTAATGCTGTTGTTTAAATTACATCAAATCAATAATATTGATAGATCACAGCTGAATCGCATCAACATAGAATAAGCTGAATGTCAGAAACATTAGGAAAGATAATAGTACAAATTCATGAGTTTATAGTCTCCACTGAAGGCCGGAGCAGTAGTAGGGGCTGGACTTGCTACTTTTGGACACAGAGTGCTGGTTGTTTGAGGCGAATCGCAATAATAGCCTCTGCTGTTTGGAGCCAGCGGTGCTTCGATGATTTTGTCAATTTATTAGGCATCCGGTAGATTATAGAGAAGGATTCTTCCATGCTGGCTGGCTTTGTGGTCGACCGGTTTGCACCAGATGGTTGAATATCGAACTGTTAATGGTTTTTTTAACTACACCTTTAATTACCCATAGTGGGAGATGTTCTCGAGCACGAATTACTGAAATCAGATTGAAGATTCCTAAATAGGATTAACGATCTGCTCGGTAAGCTAACCACACTTCTTATGGAATCAAAAGTTAATGAATTTCATTTCAAAAACACAATATATATGTAAAATTACTTTTTGTTTCAAAAAATTTATAAGTAATATGTTTATTTTTCTATGCAACTATACATTACAGATAAATATGGTTACCCCGAATACCACTGATTTTTATCGATTTTGTGATCTTGTCATGGAATCAGTTGGAGAGATGAGTCCACCACTTTACAATTTACCTTGGCTTCCTGGATTCGATGAGTGTAATACAGATTACGAACGTATTAAAATGTTTATGTCAATGCCATTTCTCAAAGACTATAAGATCACAAGTAATGCATATATATATATATATATATATATATATATATATATATATATATCTTGAAATCTTTATTTTGAAATTCACCACTCTAAAACCTTTAATTTTAGGTTGCCCCTACCTAAAAAGCAGTGCATAAAGAAAAATTACATAATAAATGTTCTATAGTTTGGTTTTGTAAGGGTTATTTATGTTTTTACGGGTTGATCACGGATTGATATCAGTTAGAGAACCATTGAAAACCAGGGAGTACTTGATAGCTGCTGTTTCATCCTAGTTTGGGAATCGTCGGCAGTACGCACCCACTGGGGTTCGAACCTAGGACCTTCCGGTTACAAGGCAAGCTCGCATTCCATTCAGTCACTGGGACGCGATTCAATGACTCATGAATTCTAACTTCTACCAATTCGAATCCCAGTGGGTGCGTACTGCCTATGATTCCCAAACTAGGATGAAACAGCAGCTGTCAGGTACTCCTTGGTTTTCAATGGTTTCTAACTGATATCAATCCTTGATTAACTCGTAAAAATATAATAAATGAACAAAGGTTTTAAAGGAAACAAAATAATGTTATGAAAACGTGTTAAAAATATCCCAAGTTTCGAAGGAATGATTACGTACCATTGTGGATGGTTTTGAGTCTTGCCACTAGGAGTCCTTAGTTGTTGATTCTTAGCATCCTAAGCACACTAACATGACAGCTTGTATCTTTCCGTATGGCACAGATCCCTCAGTAAATAGTTTTATAAGTTTTTGCCGGGTTTTAGTTTAAACGTTGATATGAGGTTGAAACTTGGACACTTTGGTAGAGTATAATTCCATTATACGTAAAAATTATTTTGATAAAATTACACAGTGTTATACAGTAATATTAATTGATGGCGTTTACAGCACAAACTATTGCGAATAGTTATATCAGGGTACTCTCACAGTCTAGTCCTATTGCACTTTACACTATTCAATAAAGACAGATTACTGAATTGTCTGAAGACTATCCGTTTCTCAATTAAAATATACTATATTGGCGCAACAGCAGTAGGTGTAAAACAGTTGTCTTTCAAACAAAAAGGAGAAATATGTGGGACACTAGTAACGTGAATGGAAAAACAAACGCACGCGAATAGCTTTAAGTGATGAGTATTTGCACAAGAATAATTTGAAGTTATATGACAGTCTAGTTGCTAGTCTTAGTTAACAAAGTGAAGGTGATATTTGACTGAGACACCAGTTGTTATACTGTCTCCCATCCATGTTAAATGCACAATGTGGACACTTTCAGCGAACACTATTCCATTCATCTTAGCACCTAATGTCAAATTGAAGTGCCGAAAATTGAAATGCCCATAAATTAAGAATACCTACTTGGTAGATTTTGATCAACATTATGGACATTTATTTATTTATTTATTTAAACACATAAAAACTTGGTACATTATGGCACCAAGAAGGATGCGCCACACAATAATAATAAAACAACATAGATCAAAAGAAAAAAAGAAAGAAGAGAAAAAAATATATGTAAGTAGAGAACGGATAAAGAACTTCATCTGGAAGGAAAACAGTCATGCTTAACAAGTTCAAACAGTATTCGTTAACTATCACCGGGAAGGGAAGAAAGAAGGGAACTGCAATACATGTAATAGCACGTGATAAGTTTCATTGATAGTTTGTTGCTTTATTCAATACATTGTGTGGGTGCTGAGTTACTGCTCGGGCGCCCAGACCGAAGCAGGTGGTTTTATTAAGGGACCACCCGTCGAGCCTTTGACTTGGAGTCTAATCCGCAAGGCAGCGGAGCAGCGTCAGGAGCTGCATTTCCATGGTTTCCGGTGACCCATATGGGTTCATACGCCATTTGATCCAATTGGATACTGGAGCCCATGTACCCCATGGTAACTGCTTTTAGTTTAACCGCTATCCAACAACCTTTCTGACATGGTAGGACCTGCAGGGACAGAGTCCCAGTCAGTTTAGCATGTTGGGTCATTACGGTACTCAAGCCCGGCCACCACGACAAGGTAGCAGTTATCGGCCGGGAGCATTATGGACGGGGCAGATATGTTGGTTAATATATCATATAATCGATACACGTGCATACCATTAGGTTTTACTGTTTTTTTCCTGAGTAGTGGGTTCCTTCAGACAGGTTGAATAATAATATGTAATATATCCACCATAGCGTAGTCATGGTTAAGCGTGTCGCTCTATGTAAACATACATTCTTACTCCATTTTAATACTGTCAATCTCTTTTTCCATTCAAACTTTTTTAAGGTAGCAGTATCTAATGATAAAGAAAATAGTAGGTGAAATGGAAAGTTTTTATTGATTATCTGGCTGTTTTCAGTTTGTTGTTCAAAGTTGCTCCAGAACCTAGCCACTTTTTTTGTAAACCATCTTGATTTAGAATATTTTCTTCATTTAGTGTCCGACCAACATTCAGCTAAGAAAAATGACTCTACAGCAAAAAGAAAGCGTGAACAAGGAAATGAAGCATGGCGTGCTAATAAAATTTCTTTAGCTCTTCGTTGTTACACTGAATCAATTTTCTTTGCGGACAGTTGCGAAGAAAAAGCTCTTGGGTATGGTAATCGATCGTGTGTACTTAGTCGTATCGGTGTACACGAGGCAGTATTACAGGATATTGATCTGGCTATTAAGGTAAATGGTTATCATATTAATTTTAGTTCAAGCGGATTAAAGAATTTAAAAGCTTGTAGCTGATTATATATATATATATATAGTGGGAAGGTTTCGATTTTGATTATAACTGGATTCCACACCGTATTTTTGGTACACGTATGGAATTTTCAGCATGTGATATTGGTAGTCCAAATTTTGCAGGCCGGCCATAGATATCGGGTGTGGGTTGGCGGGGTCTCGAATCCCGGACCATGTGCATGGCCGGCGAGAGTCCCAACCGCTGTTGTAAAAGAATGCGAGTTACATAATTCTTTCCGATGACAACTGGTACTGTGTTTATGCATGCTGTTTTTACTTTCACTTCTCATAAGTTCGGTAGACGCTTCATTCTGCATCTCTGGGTTTTCACTCCTATCCTATCCCACTAACTTAGTGATCAAAGACAAGTGTATCATTTGGTCTGACATACCATAAGTGTAACTTGAAAATTTTATTGGAACGAGTACATAATTATTAATTTTCATTGAAGCGTTCTCATATAGTATTGTAACAATGGAAGACAAGGGCTAGGCAACAGGTCGTTTATTAAGGAAATCGACACGTATTCATGTATTTTCATGTACATTATTAAAGCTTATTCAAGCAAACAAGCACAGTCTTGTGATTGGTTGTTTCTCACAGAAAGTTAACCTTGCATCTCTTTATGACTGTTTCTTCAATGTCAGATCATCTATATGTTAACTGTATATCTGCCTACTGAAAGTATGCAGTGGTTAGTTGATGAATCAGTCTTAGTTCGTATTTTCTCACGGGACATACACATTGACGTAAATTAATGCCTACCGACCTGGCTAACAGCCTGCTCTCACCACAGTATAATCTTAGGTATATAAACTTGATATAAAGTGAACAACTTGCATCGATGGTGACGGTCACAACAGCTGATTGGACACGGTGTGATAAACTCACAAATGGACCAAGATCAATTTAGTCTGTGGTGTTTGGAAATGATCTAGCTCACCAGCGTACATTTGTTCCATATATGCAAAAAGCAGGTCTATCAAGTGTATTCGTAGAAACAGCCTTCTTGTAAAAATTCAATGTATACAAATCATCCTAATCCATTTAACTTACTTAAGTTGATGAACATAGTAATAAAACCTCCCCTAAACAGTTCACCGGTTACACGCAATTCACCTTATGGTTACCTAAATGACTTACAACTACATAAATTGTTACTTTGTGACCTGTTTTCGGTTTATTTCAGCCGTTTGTAGATTACTAAAATAATTAAAACACGATCATTTTTTAGCAGGTTTATTTACTGTTTTTAAAGTTACCGAACGGAAGGATTTGGGAACCAGGGGAGATTTTGTCTTATCCTTTCATCCCTCCACTCAGAGAGTTGGAATAATTTTTTTTATGAATTCCGCCCTATAAACACACGCTACTTCTATGATTCATATATCTGTCAAATTTTACCATTAGCATGTCTCTTTCTGATACATCGACAACAAAAACCTAGTTTGTCCATGCTTTGATCCTTTTTAGCTTGTACCCGTATGACAAGGAATACAAGGGGATTTAATGGATGCAGCATGTTTTGTAGAACCACTCATTCTTATCTTGTGTTCAGTCACTTGAAGTGAACTAAGTGAATAAAGTTTTTTTGATTTATCTATTTGTCTCTATATTTATTCATTTGACCTGTATTATTATTTCCTTTAATTCGTACGAGAACATAGGGCTTCAGCCGCGCGTCTCCATTATGTTTGGTTCTCTGCCAACATTTTCAACCCGCTCCACGTCTGCCCACACACCTTCATCTCCTCTTCACATGACCTCATCCAAGTCACCCTTGCACTGACGACCAACTCGCCGCTTCCGTTTCGGGTTCCACTCGACCAATTGCTTGTCTAGTGATGTCACTTGATGGTTTCCTCAGCGTATGGCCAATCCACCTATCTCCATTTCTTTGTGCCTATTTGTTTCACAATCGGTTCCTGATGGGTTGGTTCGCTCATTGCCAGAGATCCCTGTTGCGGATCTTTTCTGGCCAGCCATCTGATTTTGAGTGGTATTGAGCGAAGACAACTGTTAATGAAGGTCTGTAGTTTGTTTGAGATCCTCTTTATGACGCGCCAAGTCTCTGATCCGTGTAGAAGCATTGACTTCACATTGGAGTCGAAAATCCGAATCTTATTTTTCATTCTGAGTGCTGTTGACCTGTGAACGTATAATTTTTGTCTTTGGTGAGTTGGCTGTCGTTCGCATTAAGGTTGAATATTGTTTTATTTGTTTTCACCTTAGCCAATGCTTCTTTCCTATCGATGTCCGACCCTCGTTGTTCGTATGCATTGATGTATTGTCTTTTCGAACTGATGAAATTCTATTTCTTGTCGATTTACGTGTAGTGCGGTTAACAATTTGGTGTTGTGAGTCACTTCACCTTCATTTTCTCATCCCAGGTGTGTTGTTTCATAGGTTGTTGGTCCCCTGGATGATGTCCATTCGTGTAAAATTATTGTCATTCTATTAAGGGGAAAAGTTGACGATAACTTGGCTATCCATTCTACTTTTGATGACAATCCATGTGAGAATCCAAGCAATAGGTTATTGGGTGGGAAATAATTTGAACTACAATTACAATCAGTACATCGTATATATCACTGTATTTTCATCTTTTGTCCTCAGTTTACCTGGTAAACTTTGGTGTTGTGTTCATGTAAAGTTGTGTGTTGTTGATTTTTGTTTAAAACCACATTATTTATTCCATATTATCAAAAGAATGGATACTGAACAAAGAGTACTCTCTTCGATAAATTCATCATCAGGCTCTACATTTATACATAGATTATAGTGAATGAATGAATTAGTGTTATGAATGACATTAATGTTGTTTAAATAACATCAAATCAATAATATTGATAGATCACAGCTGAATTGCATCAACATAGAATAAGCTGAATGTCAGAAACATTAGGAAAGATAATAGTACAAATTCATGAGTTTATAGTTTCTACTGAAGGCCAGGACAGTAGTAGTTTTCTTGTCCTACTTACAAGAAAACCAGGTGGTAGCATAAAAATAAATTTGCATAGAAAAAGTACTTGGACAGGACAATATACACATTTTCACAGCTTCGTTCCTCTCATATATAAAAGAAATTTAGGGCAAAGTTAAACTTTCGACACCACTAACAACCAATCAGCAAACGACCTCGAACGGACCAATCACATTAAAGAGGCATATATGATGAATGGAAATGTATATTTGTAGAAAAAAGCATAAAATAGAGAATAAAAAAGTTACATGCGATATCTTTCTCGAACATGTGAGAGAAAAATCTCCCAGTTTAGCATGGGACTGTCAATGGAGAAGTTACACCATATCCTGTACATATATTCATCCAAATGACTATAAATGAGATCCTTTTGAGATACATTTATAGCCCTTATCCTATTTTCAAACCTGCCCCAAAATCCTTCATTAGAATTTGCATGTGTCCTCGTAACGGGATCCACAAAATCACTTGAATGGTTGTCTCTACGATGAATATATCCCAGAGATGACAGCGAATTGTAGCCTTTCCGTGTGTATAATTGACCCCCGCTTAACAATTCTGGTAACAATAGGTATAAGAGTAGTTGCTTTTCTATCTGCTATCCTTAGGGAGAGAAGCGAACTACCGAAAAAAGTTCCTACGAAATAATAAAATTACCAGCATACCCTCTCTAGTGTTAGTAGGCTTCAAACATATAGCACAACGATGAACAAACCCATTAGTTGATTTGGTTTAGCTTTTTAAAGTCATGATACCACCACACAATCAAATTCGTTCTTTCCGGAGCAACTGAAATCTAGGAAATACTGGGAAACACTAACCTCCTCGAATTGCAACAACAGCCTTGTAAGGTCACGCATTAGAAATGAATCAAGCGCTATACAACATTGAACTGCGTTTGTGAACCTCATTGGATAATTCGACATCGTTCGTGAATCTCATTGGATAATTCGCTGATTGGTAGTTAGTGGTGTCGAAAGTTTAACTTCGCCAAATTTAGTGAAGACCCTCAGCCACAGAGTTAGAGCTATATGCTCAGAAGAAGTAATTGAAGATGAATTAAACATTGTATATGATACTTTGATCGAAAATGGCTATCCCGAAGAATTTATCAAGAAACATATGACAAAGGAAAAGGAGCACTCACTGTCTGTAAAAAAGAAGCCTCTCTATATACGACTACAATTCATGGGCGATATACCAAGCGAGATAGTTGCGAAGAATTTAAGAAAATCAGTTCAAAGGACTTTTACTGCTGGCGAACTACACGTCTTATTCTCTACACGATCGATGGTGATTCCTCGACTAGACTAGCCACTTCTAATTGTATCTATCAATTGAACTGCGCTTGTGGAGCCAGTTATATTGGCCGTTGCTCTAGGAACTTGATTTTTCGTGCTCGAGAACATCTCCCACTATGGGTAAGTAAAGGTGTAGTGGAAACTGTTAACAGCTCGTCTTTGGAACATCTGGTGTAAACAGGCCACAAAGCCAGCGTAGATGAATCCTTCTCTATATTATACTGAGTGCCAAATAAATTACCAAAAACATCGAAGCACCGCAGGCTCCAAACAGCAGAGGCTATTATTGCGATTCGCCTCAAACAACCAGCACTCTGTGTCCAAAAGAAGCAAGTCCAGTCCCTACTATTGCCCTGGTCTTCAGTAGAGACTATATACTCATGAATTTGTACTATTATCTTTCCTAATGTTTCTGACATTCAGCTTATTCTATGTTGATGCAATTCAGCTGTGATCTATCAATATTATTGATTTGATGTTATTTAAACAACATTAATGTCATTCATAACACTAATTCATTCATTCACTATAATCTATGTATAACTGTAGAGCCTGATGATGAATTTATCGAGAAGAGTACTCTTTGTTCAGTATCTATTCCATATTAGTTTGTTTATTAGATGTATCACACAGTGAAACGGTATTATTTACTG